TTCTCACTACAATATTCAGTCTTACTAACTGAAAAACAGTCCAGACCAAAAAAGTGTCCTTCATGAAAATAAATTAGGTAAAACAGTTCACGACTAAGCAGCTAGCACTGTCCACACATAAGAGATTTTACTATTTTCATGAGGCCAAATTCTGTGATTTTAGAAGCTTTCTTTGGAACAAACTAGTGGCATTCATTTTTGTAACTAATTCAATCAATTCAAATCCAGATGTCAAAATAATTTGCTTAAAAGGGAATTTCACTGATTTTCCAAACATTCTGAATAATTCAGTCACTGAATTGTAAACAAATGTCAAGTGTTTTGATGTGAAATTTTGACATGCATCGTGCAGAAGCCTACAGACTCAGATTTTTTACAGTCGTAGTAATTGATAAGAGTGACGGGTTGCGATGTCTCCAACACAAACAAGCTAATATATTCAGCCTACTATCAAAAACCTCCTGTGAACCTGCAAAGTAGTGCTAATTCTGAAAAAAAAAATTCTTACAACACCCTGCATGTATCTGTCTATGCTGAATGAATAAAAAAGGCTAAAAATTCTCAAAATATTCAGAACCATTTCCAACAAAAACTTGTATGAGTACGAAACTCATCAGATGTTTGGTTCCTGTTACCACCACTGTGAACAATTCTGAGTTCGTATGTTTCTCTAGAACGGAGTGTTTCACATCAAACCACTGCGAATGACTTTGTTTACATCTTAATGATTTTGCAGAAATTTAGCAAAAATCTGTGGAACTGCCCTTCATCAAGTATCATAGTCCAACCTTTATTGTTCTAACATCAAAGTAGTGCAGTACAGTGGTCACCAACCCTCCTTCTGGAGATCTACTTTCCTGCACAATTTAGCACCAGTCTGCATCTAACATACTGCCCCACCCCTTTCACCTAACACTAATGCATCTGATCCTGCTGGTCAAGGACTTCTGAAGATCAAGTCAAGTCAAAGTATATTTATATAGTGCTTTTTACAACAGACGTTGTCGCAAAGCAGCTTTACAGAAAGATCCGGGTCCAAGCTCCCATGAGCGTCGCCAGTGGCGACAGTGGCAAGGAAAAAGTCCCTAAGAGCAAGAGGAAGAAACCTTGAGAGGAACCAAGACTCAAAGGGGAAGACATCCTCCTCTGATCGACACCGGATAGCAAACAATAATAAAAGAGCAATATGAACAGAGAATAAGGTTTTACCATTAGTGTTAAATGTTAAAATACAAAAAAGGGGAAAAGCAGCTGAAGCAATAAAGACATGAAGCAAAGATGTTCAGCAGTTGGAGCAGGTGTGGTGGGCTGTGTTTTGAACTACAGTCCACAGTAAGGTAGATCTCTGTGATCAGGGTTGGTGACCACTGGAATAGAGCCCCACTGGTTAAAAGCAACTAAGTTTCTGGGCACTGAGCCACCAGGGATATTAATGCATTTAAAGAGATGAGTAGGTGCTCAAAAGAATGGTGCCTCCAAAATTCAATTAGGGCAGGCTAGACTTAAAGAATGCAGTTGTGTCTGTCTACTAAACGGATAAAACGCCAAACAGGGTGGTTCATATTATGAGCATGTGTGAAGTTTACAGTATTCAGGTATTAAAAGACGCTTTTCTTAGTCCATCACCCCATCTGCAGGACATACAGGCTCCAACATGAGCACTTAACAATCACTGACCAGCCTGAACAGTGTGATTACAGACTGAGAGAGGCAGAGTGAGAGAGAAATGAAATGCTGAATATGATATATTTATCCTAATGAGTTTATACTTTACATATTGCTGGAAAAAAATCTATATTATGCACCATCGCAGACATAAATTGTGAAACATTAAAATATATACTAAGTACAATTCTGAATGTCCTTCTGAATCAAGTTTTGTCTCAAAGCTAACATTGTCTTTGTACTGAAAACAAAGCAAATTCAGTATCTGACCCCTTTCTCTCTCTCTCTCTCTCTCTCTCACACACACACACACACACACACACAGTACTGCACCTCACCTCCACAATCTCCATTTAAGTGTCATCTCTCTGTGCTCCTCACATCCCTCCTTTTTCCCAGTAGCAGCCACATCTGGCGGAGCAGCTGGAACAGCACAGGGCTTTTTGGGAGATTTTCTTGGCAGCTCAAACAGCAACTTCAGAGAGCATGCTCAGAGACGATGACGACAGCGCCCTGACAGTCTTAGAGGGCTGCTGGGAATTTGAGTTCTTTCCGTGTAAGCGATGGAAAAGGCAGCAGTTGCAGTAATGTAGAATAAACACTAGGTGGCAGGCGGACACTAGACGTTTCAGCTGAAACATATTGTGCCGGGGATGAAGAAAAAAAAAAGGTATCAAAAGATGGTTTATTCAATTTTGGTTACCCTTAATACTGAGGTTATAGGTTGTCTACAGATGCTCAAATTATTAACAAACTAACTGGTGAAATTATCAACATGGTTAGGATTAGATCTATTAGGTTTATATTTTGAGTGGAAGTAAAGTTTAGGGTTAATTTATAATACTTCATACTTAATACTAGTTCAGTTGTATTTTATATTATGATTTTTTATTTTTTATATTATTTTTATATTTAATCAAATGTTGATTAAAGGGCCCATATCGTGGAAAACAAAATTTTCCTCACTTTTGTTTTAACTTAAAGGTGGTTGTAATATACAAACATTGCTAAAGTTTCAAAATACACCATTCACTTCCCAATCCATGCTGTCCATATATAGAAACAAACCTGCATAAACAGCCTGTTTTGAATTCAGTTTTTTGTGAGGTCACCAAAATCAAAACATATACATACAACCTATTCAGCCTACAGCAGTTTAGCCCCACCTAGTTGCCTATAAGTTATAAGGAGTGTTTCAGCTGGTCTGCTTTTTGAAAGAGACACAATAAAGAGCACAAATCAGAACAGAGCTCATTTACATATATCAGTCTAAAAGGCACATTAAAAAATAGCCTGTTTATTTTAAGGGATAAAGAGAGGTTGGATGATGGTCATGTGAAAATGAATTGTGACTGCCACACAAACCACACAAACATTATAAATGGACCTCGGGGGATAATATACAATGCAAGAAAAATGCAAGATATGGGCCTTTTATAGACAAACTGAGCATCTACAAAGGACCTACACAAACTAAAAGTGTTACCAAAATAACAAAACAAAAAACTGGCAATATTTATTTTATTCAATTAAGTTAGAATGACAAGAAGTTCAAGATACATTTAATATTTCTTAATGTTTTAATTTTTTCAATGGAATACAAATTATCTTAAAAGTTACACATGACTAGTTTACATGATTATTATCTGCAACCAAATTGATATGATTGAAAACAGGGATTTCAAACATTTCAATTTTCCAGTTTTGGTGTTGTAGGCCTCCACAGTGCACTCACTGGACTGAACTAGGGAGAGCTCAGCTCCAGTCCTGAAGGGCCTCTGTCCAGTTCAGTTTTGTGATTTCCCCCACTAGCAAACCCAATTCAACGCATCAGTTAATCATCAATTTAGTAGATGTGTTAGAGCAGGGAAAACACTATACTGCCACCAAAGCTGAACACCCCTGACCCATGAAATAAATGACTGACCAAGCTGTTTGTTAGGCTAGTTAGTGCTAGTTAGGGCTTTTGTTAGTGCCTGATAGGGGGCACCTTGATGATTGCATGAATAATAAAAAATGTTAGCACATAAACAAAGCAGAGGACATGTTGAGCTTGTTTACAAAGAAATTGTCAGCATAGTGAAGTTGCTGTCATTGGGTTATTATTGTGATTCTGAAATACCAAACAGTTCTTTAAACTACTAAGAGTGCAAAGGGAATCAGACTAATTAGAACAAGCACAGATCCATCATTACGTATGCTTGCATAACCCCTGGTCAAAATGCAGAGGGCTTTGGGGTTAAATCGCAATACCTGCTGGTCATAGGAAGATTATTGCTTCTTGACCAGTGACACATGGTGGTAATTCTCTCAGCCTTTAAGCTTCTTCAGCCAAAAACCCACTAAAAGCATTAGAATCCTTATAGGGATGCCTCTACGCATGCGGTCATCACTGGTAGTCATGCAGAAAGTAATAAATGCATTCAGCCCTGGTTCTGAAAGTACTGTTTGCTGACAGATGGTATGTTTCATGCGTAAGGCTGATGTATTGCAAGACTTACTGTAACCTCAAATCACTTAAAACTAATACATTTATCTGAAGAAAATCAGGCATTAATATGGCAACAATATACAGTGCAAAAGTTTTAGGCAGTAAAGAAACTATTTAGTGTTTTTGCCAATAAAAATGATACACCATAAATAAATAATAACATTTTATTAAAAAAATAAAACATTAAATATGTACCATAACCTTTGCACACTTTTAACAAATATTCAACGTTTTATTTTTTTCAATATGTTAAATTCAGCAGTAATAGAAGTATGCAGAAGTATGTTCTCTATAGAGGATGTGGTAACTTATTTTCACTTAGGAAATCTGCAAAAACATGCAGTTTATTCAGGGGCATCCAAACTTTTGCAGATGACTATACACTAACACATAAAATCACAATGTTTTCTGTTTATTGGTTTATCTATATTTATTCTAATCTCAGTGCTTAAATGCCTACTGTCCAGATTACATATCATTTTCTCAGATGCATAAGACTTTTGCACAGTACTGTATGTAAAGCACACAAAGAATATGATCAAACATTAAACATGATTTGTTTAAACTGACACGTATATTCTTGCATGTGTACATACAGGAAAGTAAAAGACAGAAACACCCTTCATTTACAAAATAGGTAAAAGCATATTCGTTCATGGACTTTAAAACCTAAAACCTAAAAATCTACTCACATTACCTGCACTGCAGTTTCTAATCATCATTAAGGTCCCTGAATGAAGGTAATTCATCTCTTGCTTGCTGTTTTGTTCCTTCCAAATCAAGCAACATTTATTTGCTAAAAAAAAGCAAAAATACAGTGCATTGGAGAAGTGGGCATAACCTTGTCCAGCTGAGTCTTCAGATGATGCAAATGCCAAGAATCCTCCAAAATCAGATTTGCCTTCAAGTCAGAATTGGCATGTTCGATTCCTGATTTTTTGGTAGGCCTCATGAATTTTTATTCTGGTGGTTGATAAACCAACCGGTGGGCCGCAGGTCAAGCCTGAGTTGATCCATAACCCACTGGTCCCTTTGAGCTCCTTCTATAAACTCCTGTAGTGAGATTTGACCTACAAGTTCAAAGAATAGAAACCAATGCGTAATTATACATATCTGGTGGCACTATTATGGATTTAATTAGTGTATATTATGTACTTTTGAGTGAATCTGACACTTCTTAGACACATTTGTCTGAATCCAAAATTGGACCTTACCCTCAATTGTTCCCAAATCCAAAATCCAATTGATCTTGCCATCACCATTTCACAAGTCTACTCTCTTTCATGCATCACTCTATTTACATACTTATATAATGTCAGTAGGGGATTAGCTAGGCCTACTTATTTGGAGAACTTACCGTCGTTGTTTTGATCAATACGTTCAAAGATCCTCTCACATATCTCATCTGGAGTGAGTTTTTCAGTGTCTGAAGGATGGTCATGCTTCCGCAGTTTGTAGATAATCTGTAGAAAAAATGAACACAACAACATGGTTAGTCTTAGCAATAATATACAAACCCAAAAGTGGAAGAGCATCCATGACTTTTAAAGTTCACCAAATTGCATTATGTGATGTACCCAACTTGGCTTAGGTGGAGTCTTTATTAAAGGAATACTTATTTTTGCATGCTTGTGACAGCTTGGTAAGGATGGAGCCTTGGCTTTAGACAGTAATTACAAATTACAAAAGCTATTTGTTCTCCAATTCTTCTTTGTTTGAGAGCAAGCAGAAGTTGGTAATACTATATTTTGCTCCAATGTCTTTGTGGAAATAAAAACCTTTAATAGTTAAAAACATATTACGATAACACTTTCTATGAATGTCATGTTTGCAAGCATCTATAAACACATTTATAACATGTTATAATGCCTACATACAGCATTATAAACATGATTATAAACATGCATAAAAATGAACTACACTGGATTACACTTTATAGCCATGTTTATTATACATTATGAATTGTTAATATAATGCATTATAAGTAGTGTTGATAACATGTTATACTGTCAGTGCCAAAGAAGTCAGTCCCAGCTTGAAGACTGCAAAGTAAAGACAAATACCAAGACATTTGAAGCCTGTAATGAGCTTTATTGTGTATGCTTTAGTGTTTCAGTAAATCCTTCAGTAAATACTTCAACTTGAAGCCTCACTCTTAACACTGGAGGAGGCTTTAGTACAGTATGCTTCACTTTACTTAAAGTGGACAAATACAACTTATGAGCTCTTATAATTTGTTATGATCAGTATTTATAATGTATTATGTTAACAATTCACAATGCATAATAAGCATGGCTATAACGTTTAATGCATTTTCATAAATATTTATAGCCATGTTTATAATGCCTTATGAATGCATTATAACATGTTATGAATGTGTTTATAGATGCTTACAAAGGTGACATTCATAGAAAGTGTTACCCATATGACATTATTGGCTATTACATCTATTCATGAATATGCAACTCATTGAATTATTAAACTTTTTCTGTAATACAGTCCTTTCTGCCCTAAATTCTGATTGGCTGGGCTGTGCTCAAAGCCATTCCCCGTAAAAAAGAGCTAATTAATGTTGTTAAAAATGTATGTGTTTGCTCATTATTTAAAGGATGTGTTATGTGTTGTTTGTGTTTTATTGTGTCTTGTGATGTGTTGGGGGTTGGTCACAATAAGATGGAAGCCTGTGGCTAGTGGTGACCTCTCTATTATGTTAAGAGCAGAAACATGGCTTCTCCCCTGTTTCCTTCTATGCTGATGATTAATGCACCAGTCACTAAAAACATAGATCTGCAGATGAACTATTTAGCTGCTCATGTGGACCACCTACTGTATGGATACCTAGTTCTGTCTATATTCTTAACAACAACAACAAATTATTTTCATAACAACTGAATTGTTATGATAAAAGATAAAGATACTGAAGAAATGAGCTGATCCACAATTTTTGGATTGAAGTTTTTACTTAGTGGTTCAAATATCTTACACGCTTCAGCCTTAAGCAGTATTAAACCCAGTCTGGGAGAACTAATCTGTTGCACCATTAGCTTGAAGCTAACACAACACATGTAATTGCATTGACACAGTAGTGGAAATTAGTATGTTCGTTCCAGGGGTAATGTGATAAGCAAAAAAGGGACTATGCTTTTTGGTGGAAGAACTATTTGCCTAAAACCCGTCTTACTTGGTAACACCACAACCTCAAAAGGTTTATTCATTTTGTAAAATAGCTACAACATAAAATAAGATAAAATACCCATATTTCTTTAATGAATACTTAAAGTTATAATTAATAATAATCACAATCAGTAGTTCTTCCACTGAGAAATGTAACCTCAGCCATAGTTTGTGTTGAACCTCATGGATGTTTCTCAGCTCTTTTTGCCCAGTTCGGAAAAGATAAAATGGGAAAATAGATGTTTTGGTACAAGATACTGGACTCAACACGACTGCATTGCTACATACATAAATACACACAACATTTTCAACCATACATATACATACAAACATATATCTGCATGTGCCAGCAGTTAGAACTGAAAACAACAGATTTACAGCTTATCAACCTGACCTACAATAGTCACCAACTGTATGGTCAGGCATTCTCTCAGAGTCTTATGATTTCCAATCGACACACTCTGTAAAACTCTCTTCATGCCTAGCAACCACATATTAAATAACATGTACAAGGAAAGCAAAACTCTTTGACCCAGACTGCCTTGATGTCTTGTTGTTTTTGACTAATGAGAGCTATGTAATGGTGTCTTAACCTTGCAGTTGCCTTAAACCACTCTAACCAAATGTAAACACTTTAAGCCTTCAGACAGCAGCCAGGGACAAAGACTCCTACAGACTCAATTGGAAGAGCAAACATCGCATGACCGTTTCTATTGTTAAATCTTTTTTTGTGTGTTTTTACTAATTTTTTTTTTTGTAATATTATCAGTCTGTTCTAATCATGATGAAAGAAAGCAGTTCCACTGATTGCAGTACAGTAGGAGTTGGACTTACCTTGATTACATGTTTTACTTCCTGTCTGTCCAGTCGTCCATTTCCATCCCTGTCATAAACTTTGAAAGACCACTTCAGTTTGTCCTCAAGCCTGCCACGGAGAACCAGGTGCAGGGCAGCTACGTATTCCATGAAGTCTATGGTGTTATCCTGAACAACATGAAGATGCAGTGCACAGTGGTAAACGTTAGTCATGAATAAAAAATGTGATACATTGCCCATTTAAGAAATGTGAAATATTATTTAAACTTTGCTCATATTTTTTCCTGTTAAGTGGCATTTAACTCCTTAACATATACTGACCAGCCAGCGGGCCAATTCCCCACTCAGTAAGTTAATAAATGTTTTGCATTGTTTCACATACTATGGTTTACTTAGTAGTATTAGTATAGCTTAGCATGTGAAGGTAGGTGAAGTTTAAGGGGTTCATTTAGAAAATAAAACAATATAAATAAATGCAAAAACAAGGTGACATATATTCAAAGTTAAAAATGCTGAAATTATTTCATTACTGACAACCACTGGTGCAAATTCACTTTTATAAATTAAGCCTGATTTTCAGTGACAGACAATAGAAAAATAAAAGCTGCCATTTTAATAGACAATGAAAAGCATTAGACATCAAAACAATATGAGCTTTAACTGCAGGTCCCCTTTGTTTACCTAGTTTTATGTACAAACTGATGTATATAGGCTATTCCTACCTGCTGTTTGCCTCACTCCCCATACTATGCAGTAAGTTTAGCCTCCATAGCTCACATTTAACTGCACTGATTCTATACATACGTTATTAGCATCAAATGATCTGAACAAGTTCTCCATGTAGGCAGATTCCTCTTCTGTTGAGTCACTTGTGATTCCAAAAATCCTCTTGAACTCATGTAGATGAAGCTTTCCACTGGGGCACTCGTTTGCAAACTTCTTGTACAACTCCTGAATCTGAGAGAGGCCAACTTCTCTATCATCCTCACTTTGCGCTTGACCCATTATTCTATAACCTAGCAGCAGAAAATCCCTAAAATGTTATTTCTTTCTTTTATCTGCAAATCTGAATAGATGTCAACTGTCCACACAGTGCCACATAGTTCTAGCCATCCCTTGTTGAGAGTCCAGGATGAGCGGAGCCTCTCACAGTGCTGTTAGTGGATTAACTCTTGTGTACTGCAGTATTTTTAGATGCAGACGCCAATCCAATCTTCCTTTTCAAAGGTTACTGCCTAATCCTGAAACAACCTCCCTGATCGAGAGTCTGTTGCATACTACATGCATTGAACTTTAGATTCTGAAAATTGTAGCAAATCTCAACAGATTTCATGTTATGAGTGACTAATATACTTATCACAGGTTTCAAATAAGGAGTAGAAAATGTAAAAAAGAAGAAGTAATTAGCTTTTTGCAACACTGTGGTTTCATTTTGGCCCATTCCTCTTTAAGTCTGTCATTGATAGACTTGCTATTTCAGAATCCTCCATGAATTTTCAATGGGATTCAAATCAGGATATTGGCTGCCCCACAAAAAGACCTTTTTTGGCCGTATGTTGTCTTTTTAAACATCCATCCCCTCAGATTCAGTCCTTTAGTATGCTCTGCATACTTTGCTCCATTCATGTTTCCTTAGATGACATGTAATGCCCCAGTACCTTGGGCAGAAAAGCAGCCCGAATATCATGATACTCCCACCTCCATACTTCACTGTGGGTAAACTTTAGACATGGATCTTTGTTACTTTTTTAAGCATAATAGTTTTGCATGGAGTACAGAAATGGAAATGATTGACAGTTCATTGCTTATTGTTCTCTGTGTAACTGTTGTTCCAGCTACTTTCAACTCTTTTCGAGTGACTGCTGGCTCCTTATCATTAGTCTGAGAGCACGTTGTGAAATCTTGCATGGCACACCTGTCCAGGGATGATCAGTTGTATTTTTCTCTTGCATATTAACAAATGAGTTATACTGGCAGGGATGTTGCTATGGCTCTGAAGCTTTTTCCATTCAATTGTTGTTTAATTTTGCCATACATGAGAACTTTAGGAGGCTTCTTTACTGTCACCATTATCAATTTCAATGAAGTTTCTTTTTTTTTAATGTATTTTTTATTCTTATGAATATATACTTTTTGTTCATGTTTATAAATACAAACTCAAAAGACATTGTTGTAAATTTGAAGTGGATATATACATTGAATGTATATAAAATAATAAAACCCAAAATGACTAAGTAGTTTTTTCCTCTCACTGTAAGTTCCCTTATTTGGTGAGATTCTGTTAATTTGACTGACCTATTAGCTCTGTCAGTAAGATCATTTACTAAAATGTAGTCTTGGCTGTTTGTGTGGAGGAGGAAACTAGGGACAGTGACGTGTCACACACTGCCTCTTAATCCCTGACTGATTCTGATCCCTGCTTCTGTGTGTGCGCATGTGCCAATTGTCACACTGTTCTAGAGTTAATAATCAAATTACAATCTTCCAAGATATTATTTTACCTAACGTGCATTGATGGTTTGATAACACTTTCAGTAGAAATAGCTAATGTAGTCAGTGGACAATTTATCAAGACCATATGACAGCATGACTGTTCCCCTTTAATACAAAACTGTATATTAATTAGTCAGATTATGTCCTGTCTCACAAAATGTATGTTGTTAATTAAGAGATCATTTATGAGACTGTAAAACTGACATATCTTTGAAGGCCAGATTTGTCCAGTTCTCATACTTATGTTACATCAGCTCTGAAACAGTGCTGTTCACCTTGAATGACCAAGATGGGGCTCTTACCTCAGAGTAAGGTTGACAGTAGCAAACTGAGCTTGGCCCCAGCTAAGAGAGACTATTTCAGTCCAACAACCAAAACCTTCATTCTCAGCTCCAATCCAATTACTGTCTTGCAGTATCAGCCGATTACACTGCACTGTCCTGAGGAAAACTCCCTTTATTACTTTACATGCATTTTAAATGTGTGAGGACAATCGAAGACAAGATGAAAGCAGGACAAAGGCTATATGTGTACATTTCCAAAACAGTTGGGATGCTGTGTAGAATGTAAATGAAAATAGAAATATGCAAATCATGTAAACCATATTTTGAATGGAAAATACTACAAAGACAACATATCAAATGTTGAAACTGAGAAATTTTATTGTTTGCTGAAAAATATATGCACATTTTGAATTTGTGCATATATTATATATTGTGCATATATATTGTGCATGTTGATTCGTCAGACTTCAGGACACTTTTCCACTTCCTTTCAGTCCGTTTTAAACGAGTTCGGGCCCAGAGAAGGTGGCAGCATTTCTGGATCCTGTTTATGTACAGTTTCTTCTTTGTGTTTTTGAGTTTTAACTAGCATTTGTGGATGCAGCGACAAACTGTGTTCACAGACAGTGTTTTTCAGAAGTGTTCCTGAACCCATGCAATGATTTCCTCTACAGAATCATGCCTGATTTTAATGCAGTGCCGTCTGAGGGCCCAAAGATCATGGGCAGCAAATACTGGTTTTTGGCCTTGCCCCTTGCATACAGAGATTTCTCCAAATTCTCTGAATCTTTTAATGATATTATGTACTGTAGATGATGAAAAGCAAAAATTCTTTGCTATTTTATATTAAGAAACATTATTCTTGAATTGTTGCACTATTTGCTTGTGCAGTCTTTCTAAGAGTGGTGAACCCCTCCTCATCTTTACTTCTGAAAGACTCTCTGCGATGCCCTTTTTATACACAATCATGTTACTGACCTGTTGCCAATTAACCACCATGTGTTTTTTAGCATTACACAACTTTACCAGCCTTTTGTTGCCCCCGTTCCAACTTTTTTGGAATGTGTTGCTGGCATCAAATTCAAAATGGGCAAATATTTTTCAATAAACAATAAAATTTTCACAGTTTCATCATTTGATATGTAGTCTTTGTACTATTTTTCAATTGAATATACGGTTCAAATGATCTGCACTGTATATATATATACTGTATGTATATATGTATTTCAGACTAGGAATATTGTTAAATCCAGATTAACAAAACACAATGCATGGGCAAAAGGCGATAAGAGAATCAGATAAACAGGCGAGGGTCATAACCAAAGAGCAAACACACAGGCAGAATCAGAAATGAGAAACAGAACAAGGTCATAAGAGCAGATAAGTGAAAGTCTTGGTGTGCACCGACAGAACTGAGGCAATACTTTGCAAAGAAACAATGCAAACAGACAGGTTTATTTACACAGGAACACAGGTATTGATAATCAATACTCAGGTGACTGAGAACTGCTGGTTGGCGTATGATTGGTTAGTGGAGTCACGTGAAACTGAGGGATTCTGGGGAAATGGAGTCTGCAAAGGAATGAGAATCTGACCGAGAACCGGGAAGCATGACAATATAAAATATATACTAATATATATATATTCATGAAATTTACACACAATGTAAAGGACAACAGGCATTTTCAAATTATGTCAAAAACTGAAGATTATATATATATATATATATATATATATATATATATATATATATTCAATAATTAAATATTATATACAAATATTAAATTCAATTTTAAATAATTTATTTAAAAAAATCTATCTCGAAAAAAAATTACATGGTGGTCCACCTTTATATCATGTAAAATATGTATACTTTATAAATGTTGATTTAAACATTAATTACAATTAAAGTGCTTATGTAAGATGTTATGAATGTGTTACGTAGACACCCTTCGAGTAAAGTGTTACCATGTGTATTGTGGTCTGATGAGTCAACCTTTCAGACTGTTTGTGGAAATAATGGATGTTGTGTTCTTTGAGCCAACGAAGAAAAGGACCATCCAGATTGTTACCAGTGCAAAGTTCAAAAGCCAGGGCCTGTCATGGTATGGGGGTGTATTAGTGCCAATGGCATGGGTAATTTGCACATCTTTGAAGGCACCATTAACACTCATAGATATAAACCAGGGGTGCACAACTCTGGTCCTGGAGGGCTGATGTCCAGCCCAGTTTGATGATTACCTGCTCAAACACACCTGATTATACTCACCTGATAATTGCCAGGTTTAGCAAGTATGTTTGAGTAGGGAAAATCTTTTGTGCAGGACTAGAGCTGTGCGCACCTGATATATACACATTTTGGAGCAACATATGCTGCCTTCTAGGTGACGTCTTTTTCAGGTACACCCATGTTTATTTCAACATGACAATGCCAAACCACATTATTGCCACAGCATGGCTGCGTGCTAGACTGACCTGCCTGAAGTCCAGACCAGTGTCAAAAAAAAACTTATGGCACATTATGAATTTCAAAATATGACAACAAAGCCCTGTGCAGTGTATAATGGAAGAATGGTGAACACTTCTGTTTCAAAAACAGATCACGTTGTGTCTTCAGTCTCCACACAATTGTTAAGCATTGTTAAAAGGAAAGTGATGTAACACAGTCTTAAACATGTTTCTGTCTCAAAAAATGTTTCAATTTAATACAATTCAAATAGAATTTACTAATCACTGATTTCTATTTTTTAGTATTAGCATTTCACATCCTGTTCCAACTTTTTTAGAATTGTATATAATTTTGTTTTCTTAATTTTGGAGATGTTGAGATCAGACCATCACCCTCACTGCACATCTAGAACTGCTTACCTTAGAAAGAGATCAATAGGGATTCCCTTCCCGAAATCTCTTTAGCATAGAGCTAGGCCTAATCTGTGCAGGAAAAGAATGGCAATAGAGGTCCCATTTCACCCAAATTACTTAGACAACTTTGTTTCAACTTCCAACCTCAAAAAGTGTACTCATATTTAACTTTTTACACTTAAGCTGTTGTCACATAAAATAAATAAAAACAGAAATAAAGAGAAATGCAATGTTAATGTTTCATTATTTATTTACTCATGAACATTGTTGCTTTTTTCACTTTTTATCTATTTCTTTCAGAAATTATACATAAAACATTATTAATGAAGAATAATTGTTCAACATTCATGTATGTGTAAGCTTTTTGTGCACTTTATAGACAAAAGTATCTGGACTTCTTAATTATTGAGTTCACGTGTTTCAGCCACACCCGTTGCTAATAGGTGGATAAAATGAAGCACATAGCCTTGCAGTCTTGATAGTCAAACACTGGCAGTAGAATGGGTCGTACTGATGAGCTCAGTGACTTTAAACATGGCACTGTCATAGAATGCCACCTCTACCGCAGGGCAGTTTGTGAAATTTCTATCCTGCTAGATCTGCCCCTGTCAACTGGAAGTGCTTTTAGTGTGTAGGGAGGGATAATGCTATGGGGTTGTTTTTCAGGGGTTGGCCTAGACCCCTTAGTTCCAAATAAGGGAAATCTTAATGCTTCAGCAGACATTTTGGACAACTGCAGGCTTCCAACTTTGTGGGAACAGTTTGGGGAAGGTCCTTTTCTCTTCCAGCATGACTGTGCCCCAGTGCACAAAGCAAGGTCCATAAAGGCTTTAACTCCATATTATTGCCTTTGGATTTAGAATGGGATGCCATAAAAGGTCCTGTGGGTGTAATATGTAGGTGTCCCAATACTTTTGTTTATATAGTGTATATGATATATAATATCTCAGTCCAAGTAAAACTTCATACCATCTCATGTGACTGAACATACAACCATGTAAAGACCAGCAAATTACACTTACTTTGTGAGTGTTCAAGCTGACCAGGATAAAAGCTGCTCAATGATCTGATAATTCACACATTCAAGAGCACTGTGGTGCTCAACAAACGGTCGCACTTGCTATGTCGAAACCTGCTCTGTGCTGTGGTTTAATCATCCCAGGGTAAATAAAGGAAGGCCAAACTGTTATCCCCACAGGGTGGGTCTGTGTACAGACAGAAGGTTCCCATGTCTCAGACACAAGGAAATCTTTTTGGAATCAGGGTCCTTTATTCCAGTTATGGATGAACCAGCCACTGGCATTGACATCCAACTTCAGAAGATCCATCACCCACTCGTCTTTCCTTGCTCCTTCCATAAACTCAGTTAATGAGATCTGACCTGGAGAGAGAGAGAGAGAGAGAGAGAGAGAGAGAGAGAGAGAGAGAGAGAGAGAGAGAGAGATTGTGAAATCTGACATTATGGAATTAATAAAAGGAAACAAGTCACAGTGTTAAATCAATATTTTCACAGTTTCCATGATTATTTGAGAAGTCCTGAACTAGAAGCACAGCCTAATCAAGGTCATTATCTTAAATTGATGGAGTCATTTACTTGTTGCCTTCTGCTGCCACCTGCTGGAATTCATTATGTATTAGACATCAATGCACATGAGTTCAAGTATATACATTAAATTAATAAGGTGTTGGCCTATTAGCTAAATAAACAAACAGATATTTTTAAAAACAACTAATATCACACTCACCATCATTGTCTTGGTCGACCAGCTCAAATATCCTGTCACAGACTTCACAGGGGGTCATGTTCATATCTGAATTCCTCATCTTTATTTTGTAGATTATCTGTGGTGATAGAAAAAGATCACTGACTCCACTCCCCTCACTGACAGTATAGCAATAAAGAGATGGTTTGATGATTGTTTGCTTTTTTGCACACAAAATAAATAGATTGCCACAACAAAGACAACAGCAACTACAACAACAATGAAAAATGTGTCAGGTCTGCAACTTCATTGAAGGTTAGAGAGAATTAATGAACACATCACTGTCCTCAACAGACTCAAGTGAACAGGCAGAACCTCTGACTCTTGGCAGCTGACCTAATGCTCCCTATGTTGCACAACACAGCAGGGGTCAGTTTAACACCTTATATGGAAGAGTTCTAGATTCAGCCCCAGCTGTATGATCATCTAGCTTTTACTGAGTTAAGCTGTGCACATTACCCATTTAATGTCCATGTAATGTACATGTATGTCCAACATGGTAACTTTGTAAGAGGAGGCAAAAAAGCTTAGCTTAGCTTTTAGCTTTCTTAGCTTTTATTGTAAGTTAATGTAAAGAGTTCTTATTCCAAATGATTCTGGAGCATTTCTATTGGTCCATTCATCATAAAATATTCACACAATGTAAAGGATGGCTGCTATGTTCAAATTATGTATATATAAAAAATGACAAAAATAGAGATACCAGTTTTTCTTTGGACAGCAACAACAGAAAAACATGACTTTCTGAATTTAACTCCTGAAATGCTAAAAACAGTTCCTCACTTTTATAACCACATGACTTACATATTAATTTATAGTAGTTATTCGATACTGCTGGATAGTCTTAAGTCTTACGATGAATACCTGAACAATAAGTATGCAGTTTAAAAAGCTAAAAAAAATCCAATATCTGTTCAGTTTCACAAAATACTTAAAACAACTGACAATTATGAACTGTGTCTATTTTGTAATTTGCTTGTTATATGAATTACTTATGCGCTAAAATATGCTTGTGCTTTTATATTTTGCTATGTTCATCTTAGTGAAAGTAACCAAGTCATTTATAGTGTGACAATTGATTCTAAATTGAAAGTCTGCTCACCTTTATGATGTGTTTCACCTCTTGTCTGTCCAGGCGACCATTCCCATCTTTGTCATAAACTTTGAACGACCACTTCAATCTGTCTTCTAGTTTTCCTCGGAGAACCAGGTGTAGCGCTGCTACATATTCCATAAAGTCTATGGCATTATCCTGAAAAGGTTAAAAATAATTCATAACATTAAAAAAAAATCACCACACCAGTTGGACTCTGAAAGAGTTTTATAGTCTACGAGTAGCTTGTTCAGTTTCACTTGCCTGGTTAGTGTCAAATGAGCGGAATATTGTTTCCATATAGGCCGATTCCTCCTCCGATTCTCTCTGGACACCAAAGATCCGTTTGAATTCGTGCAGGTGTAAGGCCCCACTAGGACATTCCTTCATAAAAGTTGTACATAATCCCTGAATTTGTGCCAAATCTACCTCCTTATGATCTGCACTCTCTTCTTGACCCATTATGTTTCGCTTGTTGCCTTTGATTAATAAAATAATTACAATACTGAACAAACTAAGTGATCTAAGCAAAAGAATAAACCTGTTGCCTGCTGCGAGCACCTCACACCACAGCCTCCATTTGCCTTTAGTCTACCATTCTGAACTTACTCTGCTTAAAGAGGTAACTCGAGGGAAGTCACTCTAAATGGGTTTGTGGTATTTAAAACCCTGTCAATCTGCTTTGGTGCTCGTTAAGCTATACTGACCACATACACTGGCCAGATATAGTGGCTAACTTAAGTCAGTGTCCTAATGTTCAGAGGTTTCTAGATTATCCAGCATTGCAATCCCCAGTTGACCCCAACTATGGTCGATTCAGTTATTATAGGGCCCATATCTGATATTTTTAATGTGGTCTATTTTCCCCCCAATGTCCACTTATGGCATTTGTTAGATTTATGTAGCAAAAAAAAATTACATGACCATTTTCAACCTCTCATTATACATTACAGTAAAACACTGATATAGGTAAATGAGCTCTGTCCATCTCTGGGCTGAAACACTCCTTAAGTGTGTCTCAAAGTTGAGGTAGGGGAGATCTTGCTATTGGAAGGCTCTTCTTCTGTGCTCATACATTTTTGAGGTGGCCTGAGGTGGCCTTTAAATGAACACATTGGTTCCACAGAAAAGGAATATGCTACATCATCTTAAATTATGTAAGTTTATTAAATACCTTAATACTACTTTATATAATCTAGGCTGATATACTGTTTAGCGAGTGGATTGGCGTCATTGTTTCCCTCTTTCCTTCTCTGGAGTGAAACAACACTGTCATTTTTCTCCCTTGTGGATAAGCCACTCAGAAGTGCACAGAAAACAGATTTTCTTCAATTAAATGCTTAAAAAGAGTCACAGAACAGATTTGTGGCAGGAACGTGTTGCGTTAGAGTTTCATTTTAAAAGTTGTATTGCCATTACAGCACATAGCTGTATTTCTCCAACCTTCTACAAAGTTGGCTAGCCTTGGGATGCAGTTAATATATCTGGTTGTAACCATGCAAGGCTAGAAAATTTGAAAAATAAGCTAGGATACCAGGGATAAAGATATTCAAGTATTTACAGAATTTCATGGTAACACTTTCTATGAATGTCACGTTTGTAAACATCTATAAACACATTTATAACATGTTATAATGCCTTCATACGGCATTATAAACATGATTATAAACATGCATAAAAATGAATTACACTGGATTACACTTTATAGCCATGTTTATTATACATTATGAATTGTTAATATAATGCATTATAAGTAGTGTTGATAACATGTTATACTGTCAGTCCCAAAGAAGTCAGTCCCAGCTTGGAGACTGCAAAGTAAAGACAAATATCAAGCTAACGGTGGTGTACATTGACTTTCCCACATTGGGTAAAACACTGATGGCAGCACTAGTTTAAACTCTGACATTTGAAGCCTGTAATGTGCTTCATTATGTATGTTTTAGTGTTTTACTAAATCCTTCAGTAAATACTTCAACTTGATGCCTCACTCTTAACCCTGGAGGAGGCTTTAGTACAGTATAAATATTTATAGCCATGTTTATAATGCCTTATGAATGCATTATAACATGTTATGAATGTGTTTATAGATGCTTACAAAGGTGACATTCATAGAAAGTGTTACCAATTTCATTTCTGTTTAACCAGCTGTGTATTAGAGGCTTATGCTATAAGCCGAAGCCATTACCTTACCAGTAGTGATTAACATGTATGTTAGCAGAATTGAGCCTGTGTTAAGTGTGGTTATGTTTTATTGCTCGTAACTTCACAAAAATAAAGCCAAAGGAGAAAATGTTGCTAAAGAGAACTATATACAGTGATCATTACGTAAAGTGAATCCACAGAGCTTTATTTACTAGCTAATTTGTACATGAAGCCACATTTTTTCCAAAGAGCACTGATTACTGCATTGAATTGGTTCCATCAAAATGGGTTACTCCAAATTTGGAGGAAATCACATTGAACTAAACTGAACTTAGAGCAACATTATGGAACAATTGTACCTTAAAATATCAGTTTCAAAATAATTTTGATAGCACACTGACTTATAATAGGGAGAATGGTGTTTCTGTCATTGCCACTCCAGGCCTGGAATGCCTGCTATAGCACTATGTAATTTTGGAGGAGTGGGCACGAAACCTCTCACGAGAACTGCATAATGTTTTATGGCACCATCCATGTCACATATCAACAACTATGTTCTTCAGCTAAGACAAGAGTAAATCATGGACTGGCTTATACTTGTTTATGAGTGCTAAAAGACAAAAGGATGCAAGATTTACTACTAACGAGAAAATAATGAAAATTCGACAGCAGAACGTCCATCCCTGCCAATGTTATTTAGGAAAGATTGTAATGTATTACTCTACCTTATAAGTTGAAATGGTTCTTTCTCTTCTGATGTTGTCTTTGTTGGTGTTAGAAAATTCTGTCTCACTGGTAGAATCCAACCTATTTTGTGCATGCGCGTCACAGTACTGTACAGATCATCAACAGGTCATTATTCATTGGGCATTCATTATGTCTGTGGTACACATATCTGTACATAGTTTAAAGTGCTTAAGCAAGAAATATGAAATACTACAGATTGAAAATGTCAATTATTATGTTATTTGAATAACATTACAACATTTCAAGTTGAATGAACAAAAAGTATGATGAAAACAAAGTCAAAATATTGTTTACGGTGCATTTTTAGGATGCATTTCTATAAGGTAAAATTGAAAAACACATACAGTCTTTAGGGCAGATCATTTCAGTCTCATCTCATCATAGAGAACAATGTTGACTAGTTCAGAACAGGTTTTGTCATTTGCCAATGGATTTCTCATAATCTAGGACATCGTAGTTTTCTCAGATTATGTGTTCTGCAATACAGGAAAGGATTATCAACAGAACATCTCTTTAAAGATGAGAGGAACACAGTGAAGTGTACTCACAGTGAGAATGAAGCTGAACCTGCTTTAGGACGCTGTCTGGAAACAGTATTAAAATTGGAATTTAAAACAGTAATGTTGCAGGTAAATCATTTTAGGACATTTGACAAATCTGTATAACAGATCTGCTTCCTGTTATTAATATCTGTCTCTTTCTTTTTGCTTCTTCAATCAAGCACTGAGTTTTTGAGATATTTTCTAATTCTCGTCTTATTCTGTACTACTTTTATTCTGATGTTAATCAAAGGTCAGGAATTGTATGTATTAACTGATAATGTATGGTGATGCATTTATACTTTATTTATTCATTTGATTTGTGTTTTATTGCTGAAAGTAAATACATTTTTAAAACTAAGACCTCTTGGCTAGAACATACAGTTCTAGAAAAACCTTTAGTTGACACAGAATCTTTACATTGTGTGGATGTTTTTTAAACTTTAAAAAGGTTCTTTACATTCACACGTCTTATCTACAAAAAAGTTCTTTAAAGTATTATCAGTGGAAACACTCTTTCTTTTATTTTTAAAGATGCCTTAGTCGAAATTCATGATACTTAGACTTTATTGGTTAAGTAAGTGAAATAAAACAACACTGGAACCATTTTTGCTACTCTTTGGATCAGAACAAAGCATGATTGAGTTGACAGTGCCCAGCAGTTCTATAATTTAGAGTTTGCCTGTCATGACTTTAGTTTCAAGCGATTAAGGGTTTATTAAGGGCACTGACTTTCTTCGTTATTTAGATATAGATGCAACAAGTATAGCATTATGCTTGAGAGGAGATCAACATGCTCAGTATAGCCATCTCAATAGAGTACATTGATTGCAGACCTTTTTGATAGCTAAAAGTTAAGTGACCCTTATTAGTCTGGAAAGTCACTAATTCCAGCTTTATCACTTATGCATGTAATAATTTCCTCCATTTTTGAAAAGCACTTCTGATGTAAGTTCTTGTTTTAACACGTTTCTTCTTCTTAAGCTTTTTGGCAGCACAGCCTCCTCCTCCACCACAGTTCCACAATCTGGGAGCACAGGTCCTTAATGGATTCTGCCATGTTTTCTTATCTGAACAGATGGAGATAAGGATGGAATAATATGCTATTGAGAAGTATCTTATAAACTGACTGATAGGAGGTCAGTGTAAACACACACAAGCTCTCTGCTTCATCCTGTAGTTTCCCAACAGATTTCTCATGCACATAATATACTGTGCTGATGCAATTGCTGAAACTATTATTTTTTTATCATATTCTACATATTTTCCCCAAACCCCTGCCTGCTCTCAAGCACAGCTATCAACTTTTTATTCCATCTTTCAAACATACTGAGGTTTTATGAGTTGTCTCATGAATTAAAGAGGCTCATTATGCTAAATACCTGCAACTACTTTTGATCTAACTCAGCATTATCAATAAATCATGTGCTGCTGATTTATTACAGAAATTGTGCATGCACAGGATAGAATGATAAAGACATTGAATGATTTCAGATCTTCAGCAAGAACACATGCACTGTTTGCCTCATTGCTGTGTGTGCCTATTACCATGTAATGTCTACCATATGATGTATACATGTCCAATGCCTTATCACTGAAACAGAGAGCTATATTTCCTTTGCCAAAATGAATTGTTTTCATATAAACTTAAAATTATTGCCTTTGAGAAGCTGTTCTGGGGTTGTGGTGTGAGTTGGGGATTGTTGTCTCTATGTTTCATGTCGCTGTTGTCGGACCAAAACCTTGTATCTCCACAATGATAACTTTACAGGAGAAGGAAAAACATACTTTGCTTTTAATGTAAGTCAATGGAACCAGAGATTTTTCCATGTAATTTTGGGTCGTTTATTTTGGTCCATTCATCTTTACATTTACACACAATATAAAGGGCAGTAGATTCTTTCAAATTATGTCAAAAACTGAAAAATGACAAAAAAAGAGATACAAGCTTTTGGTCCGACAGCCATATATGTCATTCACCATTTATTATTCAGCAGCCAAACATGCAAGAAAGAAATAAATTGGCCCACA